TGTTGATAGGAAACAAAATGGTGATTCCTACTAAGTTGCGGAAACAAGTTTTAGCAGCGGCCCATGAAGGTCATCCAGGTATAGTCAATATGAAAGCTAGGCTGCGCACAAAAGTTTGGTGGCCAAAGATAGACAAAGACGCCAAAAATACAGTAAAAAGCTGCAGAGGGTGTACTTTAGTCTCAGCACCCAATCTACCGGTACCTATGAAAAGGCGTGAACTCCCTTCGAAAGCCTGGGTGGATACAGCCGTTGATTTCTTGGGTCCACTGCCAAGTGGGGATCATCTTTTAGTGATTATTGACTATTACAGTCGATATAAAGAGATTGAAATCATGAAATCTATTTCAACACAAGACACAATAAAAGTGTTAAAAAAAATTTTTTCACGAACCGGAAATCCCGCTAGTATTACAGCCGACAATGGCAGACAATTTTGTAGTCACGAATTTAAAACATTCTGTACCGAACAAGGAATTACGCTTTTTAATACGATCCCTTACTGGCCTCAGCAAAATGATGAGGTAGAGAGGCAAAACAGGGATATCCTTAAGCGACAGCGAATCAGTCAATGCGAGAAATCAGACTGGAAAGATGATTTGTTAAAATACCTAATGATGTATAACAGTACCCCTCATCCCTCCACAGGAAAATCTCCATCCGAGCTTTTCTATGGAAGACAATTCAGAGACAAACTACCTTTTTTAACAGACCTCGAAAATAGTTACGATGATCAAGAAATAAGAGACCGAGACAAAGAAAGAAAAGAGATAAGCAAATTAAACGAAGACAGGAAAAGAAGAGCTGCTGATAGGGAACTAGAAATAGGAGATAAAGTGTACGTGAAGAACATGATAAAAGAAAATAAATTAGTTTCCGAATTTAACCCAACCCCCCATACTGTTATTAGTTCTGAAGGAAGTGATATAAATATTAAAAATGATGACACTGGTCAGGAGTATAGGAGAAATATCGTACACCTTAAGAAAGTGGAAGGTCAATGGAAAGTTGTTGATCATGATAACGGAGTTCAGATTGATGATTGATTAATGTCTAAATCATCTTTTAGTTTGTTTATCGTATACCATTGTTTTGTTTGTTTATCGTATTAATAAAATAAATTAATATATAAAAAGAAAGAGATGTGATATATGTATAATTAAATATAGTACACATACCAACGGTGGCGCCTCACTCGCATTGCCGATCCGTCATCGGTGGCGAGTGGACGATGTCGTTGTGCTGTGTACCTACTTACTGATATAGTTGTTTTACTAAAATCCTACACTTAAATTAGTGGACACCACAATATCATATCGATAAACCTAAGTACAAAACCGTTATCACATATCCAACCAAAACCATATACCGAACCAACGTACGAAAACGAAACTGAAACGCGTAACGCAAACTGTGGAACGATCTCCCAAAACGGAAAATGGCCCACTAACCCATGACCCTCGTTGATATTCGTCGCTTCTCGATCTTGCAACGATAGTTTAAATAAGTATAGAAAGAAATGTAGCGAATATGGATATCGTTGCGATGTTTTGGTAGTTAAAGCAATAAGGTCGAATTTTAAATAGTTAAAATTGCCTAAATTTTAAGTTTGTGTAGTTGTGAGAGTTACCAAAATTTCAAATGATCTTTAGCTCATCAGGCTCAAGGCTTAGATTTGTAAGACGTAAAACGCAAAAACTGAAACGATATGTTAACACGGCACACGAACTAAACCGATGCGATGTCCTTCGTTGATATTCATTGTTTCTTGTTCTTGTGACGGTATCATAAATACGTTATAGAAAGAGAGATAGTTTGTTTCACACGGTACACAGTGCACATCTGGATATAATTACCTAAAACAAAAAGGTGAATTTCAAATGGTTAAAATTGGCTAATTTTTAAGTTTGTGTTGTTGTGAGAGTTGTCAAATTTAAATGATCTTTAGGACAATAGACAAAAGACTTGCATTTGTATGATCATATTATATTTGGTTTAGGCTAGGCTATTGTATTATATTTATGTTTTTTTAATATTTTGAATGGAAAGTTTAGAATTTGCTTTTTTCTGAAACGCAACAATTACGCACTTGGTCTTGGTTGCTCGTGCTCGTGCCGTTCGCTAAGATAATAACATCCATTGAGTTATTAATTTTTTGACGTTGCGTTTGTACATTTATTTGCAATATTTGTGTGCATTTTATGCATTAGGTAGTTGTAATTGAGACAATTATGTGTAAAGTGCAAATATAATATGGCATAGTATAGTTTAAGTTGATTTAGACTTTTAATCATTTTTAAATACAGACTTTCGAAATGTCGCGTAAGCCTAGTGAAATATGGTCTCATTTCGATAAAAAAGACAATTCCGACCACTTTAAAAATCAGATAAACCTGCGGTTAATAGAGTTGAAGTTTGAAATTGAATTAAGAATTCGAATTTAAAACTTTTCTGCTAGTCCTAAGCCTAGTTAAGCATGAAGAAAAATCGTCAACTTATATAATTGTTAATAAATAAACTAACTAAAATAATTTTCTATAAATATCGATAAATTATGTTTACTTCTTAGTAATACACTTCAATTAACTTTGAAATCAAGCTCTGATCCCACGTCTCAAATTGAAAAAAAAAATGGGTAACAAAATTATAGAAATAAATAAGGATAGAATGAACGTAATTTTATCCACTACTCCATTATCACACCGTGGGTGTCGTAAAAGGCGACATAAGGAAACAAATCAGGAGATGGGCAGCAACGTTTTCGTAATAAATACTATGAACAGTGTGTTTCGTGAATACACATGACAGAAGTGAAACTTTTGTATTACAGGGAAACATTTAAATTATTCATCAATGTCTTTTGAATAACGTAGATTATGTATATCATTAATTTATACATATGTGTCACAGTGCATCATCGTCTTCGATCTTAAGAAAAAATATTATCGGTTTAGTTTGTTAATTATAGTAAGTATGTAAAATGCCTACATGATACCGGAGAAAATCCTAGTGTCGAGGTTACGTTTTTTAAAAATAAGAAAAGATCTTTTTTTAGGTTAATGTCATCTAGCATCTACTCTACGTACCACCTTGTAAGTTAATCAATGTTTGTTCGATAAAATTACTTTACCTATACAACATAGTAGATGGTGCTATTACTGAAGTGCACTCAGCTCAATCTTACTAAAATAAATCATACGTGTACCTTGGCAAATGTCTTAAATAAAATCCATAGAAGGATAGTGTTTGAACAAAAGATCGTTGTAATCTTGTACTACTATATATCGATCGAGTGCCCGGTACGTACGTAGTGTTTACACCCAACACTTTTCGGTGTACAAAAATGTTGCGGATCAGCATTCCAATCAAAGCCCTCCCGTAAAAAGTTTCACTTCAAAAAACTGTGGTTGCCAACCCGCTTGCCAAGCGTGGCAACTATGGTAAATATCCCACCTATGATGCAATCTATGAGGAGGCCTATATGTTCAGCAGTGTACTTTAATAAGCTGTAACAGTAACGGTATAATTTATTACTGCATAACATTGAATTTACAAAAATTATTTATTAACATACATGTTTAAATATTACATCTAAAATAACAATAACATTAGAACCTCTGATTTCTAATCTAGAATAATGTATGTAACTCATAAAATAAATGTTGCACTGGTAGTACAGTTTGCGGTTATATTTCGGTTGTCGTTTGCGCATTCAGCAGCAAACCGTTACTATTCATATCGATATCTGAAAACGGTTTTCAATAACGATATGAAAACTAGATAACGGTTATGTAACCGTTGCAGATAAAACCTGAAAACGCCCATGTTTAGTGGTCATATTAGCGGCTTTTATATTTTGCATGAACTAAAGTGCAATAATCCAAGATGGCCGAAATCATTTTCAAACGTTTCACTATGGACGACGAATTTATTTACTTCTACATATGTGCTAACAATTACATAATGCATTTATTAAAATCTAAAAAGAGGAATTCCAGTACCATTTTATCACGCCACTCTGTTTTGACACAGCTACCTGCATGCGTCTGAACCACAACATTCTATATTATGGGGCTGTGGTCTGAACTGATCAAAACAACTGCCGAAATGTACAATGTTAGTCTGACCGGGTAGCGCGATATGTTGACGCGCTAAAACCCTTTGCCGCCAGCCGTGCGATGACACCCGCACACGCAGCCCGAATGTTCGCGACAATAGTCGATAATAGCCGATCACATCTGCGCGTATCGTGTCGCTTTGTGGCGATAGATGCAGATGCGGCCCTAGCATTAGAAATTAATATTCTAAGGTGGCCAAGGAATAAAATATACTCTTAGCATACACTATAAGGACCGTCGACCTAGAGAGAAACCTATAGATTAATGATTAGCGTGGCCTCGAGTGAGAAAGGACGATAATGTTGTTTTAGGTTATACAATAATCTTTATGACTTTTGAACATGTTTAGATAAAATTTTTAATTGTTCTAAGAACTGAACTGAACAAGATTCACCAATCTTAAGCTCACAACATACTTTTTTTCTCACTTAAACCAACTTGTAAACTCCTTAGATCGCTACGAACTGTCAAAGTTGTTTAGCAAAGTGTAGTTTGCTAAACAAAAAAACCGACACTGAGAAAGGGACGAACAATCACACCGCTCTGTCTCTTTTCTATGACGTGAAAAGATAGAGTTATGCATACATGCAAGACGTATGCATAAATCTATCTTTTTCGTGTGCAAATGCGGAAGAAGGCGTCAATTCGTCTATAGGTTTCTCTGTCTACGATAACGACTAACGATGAGAGTCTGTGTCACAAAAGAATAAGAATTCTATTGGTCTATGGCATATTTAAGCTAGTAGTCTATGCATAGATTAATAACTATATACTAGGTCTATGGTTTGTTATGTCTATGGGCAAGAGTGACGTATGAACAGCCGAAACGAAAACGAAAGAAAAGCCCTCAGTGCCGTTGTTATCTTCTATAATTCCTGAAGAATGGAGACAAACGGCCAGGCTAATGGGCTAAAATCCAGAAAGAAAGAAAATGGTGATGGAAAGGATAACTTATGGTAATGGTTAATTGTAATTTTACGAGTAATATACAGCATCCTTATAGGGTATCCAATGTGTCACACCTACGTGATGTCAAGATTTTTACCTGAGAAATATGTGACCTAGCTGCTGATATCACCTTTGTCTGTAAATAACCGTGTAATTTTCATAGTACCAACAAATCTGTAAATGCGTATACAGGCGATCGTCTTATTGCGTATGAAATCCAACGTCGTTGCAAAGAAATTATAGTGAATGTCTCTTCCAGGTCTGCGATTTTAGAGGAAGTTCAAAATCAGGGTAACACCAAATTACCGTCAAATAAGAACGTGTTAGTTTTGGGCGACAATGAAACTGGAAAAACTACACTTATAGCCAAATTGCAAGGAGTTGAAGATCCCAAGAAGGGATCAGCGCTCGAATATGCATATATAGATGTTAGAGATGAATATCGCGATGGTAAGTACCAGAAATTATACAATACAAGTTTTTATTTAAGATAAGAGATAGTACAAACTATTTTCTTATAGGCAAAAAGCTTTGAATGTTGATATGAAACACAAATGTTTGTTATTTATTGCAATATGACTTATTGATATAGTCCTATTCATAAAAAACATTGTATAGAACTTTTTATATATGGTTATAAAACACCATGAATACATAATATAAGTAAACCACCAAGTATCCTAGACACTCCAGATAGTCTGCAAAATGGTTGTTGTAATGACATACATAGTTATTGTAATGTAATAACCCATAAAGGAGTCCCATAAAAAGTCTAAGAGATCTCACATGTTCTACATTTATTGTTAAACCCTGCTTTATGTACTTTTTTTTAAATTTTGTCATTAAATATTGAAATATTATATGAATAATAAGGTGATATAGCTGTAAAATATTTATTACCTAAATATCCTTTTGACATATTATATATAAACATGTAACTATTGAAAAACTTGTTTAATTGAGACATGATCATATTTCCACAACATATTTGATTTGATAGGTCCGATAGGTAGCACAACAGTTAATTTGGTAAGAAATCCGAAAAAGACTCAAATTCACAATAGTAAACCAATGTTGGCTTACTGCTAAAAAATAACAAAATCTGGAGTCAATAGACGGGGCTAAGGTTGAGTTATCAATAAATTTTAAATTTACTCTAAATAAAGGCCAGAATGAATTGGGAGTGAAACTATTTGGGTCCCTACCGAATCTACCCTACCTACTCAAAAAGGCCGAACAATGTCGCCAGGCCAGTGGGTAATATTATAAAACAAAATTTACAAAATATAAAGTTCTATTTTCAAAATTTATATCAATAATGCTGGTCAAACCATCTTTACCTGTTGGTAGTGTGGCCAGCAGACTTTCTGTATTGTGTTGTTGATCTACTATCCAAAGTATTAGTTTAGTAATAGTTTGCAATGGGCTATTTACACAATTCAATAGTAACTCAAGAGAAATGATATTTATTTGATGCACAAAGATATCTTAGAAGTAGTAAGTAGGTAGTATTTGTATCATTTCTACTATGGATATGGAAGGTATAACCTCTTTTCCATTTCAGTGATGAATTAAACAAAACAGTGACTATCAATAAGTATTTTTTATAATCAATATTGAATAAAAAAGTTTCTGTTTCCAGGGTAAATATTGCATAGTAAAGTATTGTTAGCACTGGTGATAAAAAATCCAGTTCTTTTCTTTATCAGAGGTGGGGCATTATGATTAAATGAGAAAAAATAATCAATATTCATGGCAATTTGGTGTGTCGAGTGGGTCTATGCAGAACCTGGAAAACAATTATTTTATGCCAGTTCCATTTTGCAAATCTGTCGGCATTCTGAGTTGCCATTTCAAATGCAAGTCATTTTGAATGCCGACAGTTTTTGCGTGTCCACTAATGGACACATGTCTAACTTTCACCTAAAATTTATTATCATTATCACCAGCCCTTCACAAGTCTATAGCTGAATAGGTGTCCCCCATGAAATGCCGGAAAACACAGCCCACAGCCACCTGCATCTATCAACCTCTGTCATTTCTTACCAAATCCTCATTCCATCTAGTGGGAGACCACCCAAAATTTTGCTTATCAGCATGAAGCTGCCTCTTGAAAACATTTTTTTCCCATTGGTTGTCCATTCTTCAGGAGAGCGTCTCTTGTTTTTGCCACTAATCATAATGAAACATGAAACAAAGCAGCGCTTTGCTGGTATTTTATGCTGGTATGCTATGCAAGCCTGGACCTGCCCTGGTCGAGCAGATTCTTTTGCTGCAGCGTAGCCCTACCACATACATACATACGAGGGGTGATCCAAAAGTAATGATAATGAAAATAAAACATGGTAATTAAAGTTAAAATAATAATTTATTTTTCTGCATAGTCTCCTAACAAATCAATACATTTAGTCCATCTTTTTTCTAAACCCAGGAGTCCCCTTGAAAAAAATTCTTTGTCTTGACCCTCCCAAAACGCTTCAACAGCAGCCATTACTTTGCTATCGTCTTCTAATTTCTTGCCTCGGAGGCGTTCCTTGAGCCACGGAGAGAGGTAGAAGTCGCTAGGAGCTAGATCTGGCGAATAGGGAGGGTGTTCGAGCAGGTCGAATCCCGTTTCTTGAATGGCAGCCATTGCAACTGCGGCTTTGTGAGCCGGTGTGTTGTCTTGGTGAAACAGCACTCCAGCTCGCAGTTTGCCACGTCTTTTTCCTTAATGGCCTCCCGTAATCTTTTTATTTGGTCTGCGTAGTAAGAGCCCTTAATACTGGCTCCCTTTTCCAAATATTCCACCATAATTATACCTTGAGCGTCCCAAAAAACAGATACCATAACCTTTCCCGCCGAACTTGAAACTTTGAATTTCTTTGGCGTCGTTGAGGAGGCTCGCTTCCAAGTCATCGATTGTTGTTTCGTTTCAGGATCAAAATGGTGGATCCAGGTCTCGTCCATAGTCACAAAAGGGAACAAAAAATTTTCTTGATCTGCTTGGAACTTTTCGAGATTGACCCTCGAAATGTCATTTCAATTTTTCTTTTGCTCGTCGGTTAACATTCTGGGTACCCAATGCACAGAGACCTTTTTCATATGCAACTCGTTCGCAAGGATTCTTTGAATGCTGCCATATGAGATCCCTGTGACCTCAGCTACATGCCTGATGGTTACTCTTCGATCTGCCAACACAACATCGTCGACTTTTTTCACGTTGTCTTCAGTGAGGGACGTGGATGGGCGTCCTTCACGATGTTCATCTTCAGTGGATGTTCTGCCCAGTTTAAACTCCTTGGCCCAGCGTGCAACTGTAGAATATGGAGGAGCAGAGTCCCCCAATGTTACCACTAAGTCACTGTGTATGTCTTTTGAAGACATTTTTTTCAAACAGAGGTACTTGATGACAGCTCTAATTTCGTTTTTCTCCATGTTGATGTTATCTCTTTGACAGTTCGTATTCAAATGAATGTATCTCCCGGAAATCGTGATCTATTTATATGATTTTTTTTAGGCTGACATAGTGAGTATATAAGCAAGCAAAAAATATTTTTTTTGGATTTTTATGCGGACCTGAAGTAACCGATTATCATTACTTTTGGATCACCCCTCGTACACTGCCATATATTTATGTTTAGTAGTTAGTAAATCTTTATTGTTCTAAGTATTTAATAATATAGCATAAAAATTGTTGTAAGATTAAAAAAAACATTTGTAAATTATTAATTAAAATAAAACATATGGTGAGCTTCAGAAAACACTAAAACTATCAATTGTTATAGATCACACAAGACTCAGTGTGTGGGTGCTGGATGGTGATCCAGGACATACAAATTTGCTCAAGTTTGCTCTCAATGAAGAAACATTCCCACATACCCTAGTGATATTCACGGTGGCCATGACCACACCTTGGGGTATATTAGATCAACTGCAAAGCTGGGCATCAGCACTTGGTGACCACATAGACAAATTAAACTTCACTGCAGGTAAGTCCATATCTTATAGCCTTAAGAGAACACTTTAAAATGTTTTCCTTTTTGGAATGATATTTAGTTGCCTATCAAAGACCACTTAAATATATGCCTCCCCATAGATTGCCCCATAGAGGGGATATTTACCACAGTTGCCATCAGTGGGGAAGCTAGGGCTCTAAAGCAAGCCCAAGATATGGTTTTGTTTATAGCGGTTTTATAATAATACACCAATCTTGATCTGTCTCCACTCTTCAGTTTCATATTCAGTGCTGTCGAGGATGTGTTTAACAAAGCATGTAGAAAGCATACTACTGCTAGATAAATTGAATGACATATGAGCAATTGCATACCTTCGGTGGCTTTAAAAAAAGCCGTTTTGGTTTGCTTGAACGAAAGAAAAGATATTTACATACACTATACATGAAGTACAAACAAACTATGTACAAAATTAAAAAAAAATTGTATTCTAAATTGAATGGTCTCTCTTCTTAAGAAAAAGAAAGAACCAATAACTTTTTTTCAATTGCAATAATTGATAATTCAGAAAGACGCTCTTGACCTTGTGTATTTTCTCAACAAAGCTTAAATATTTTACCTTTTCCTCGCCAATTAGCATTTTAATACACTTCATCACAAGGAACACTCCTCTATATATACACTCTGATGTACACTATATACTCCAATATTATCCTCCATTTTCACTAAAATCCTTTGAAAAGGCATAACGGATTTCTCCATGGTGGTGTAGTGGGGATCTCCTGTGTCATGCATCTATGATCTGAGCATGAAGCCTCTCTCGAGAAATGCCATTCTGTGATTAGTTTGGTAGTTAAATTCACTAGCCTTACGAGTACACTGGGAACCTGCTAGTTACATTATAAGTTGAAGTTTTTCTGTATAGACATTTTTCGTGGTAGAGCCATGCTGCAGATATATTGTGGTTGTGGCAAGACTCTGTGTGTGGGTGACCACACTCTCACAGAATACCAGCGTAAAATAGCAGCTTAATGCTGCTGTGTTTCATATGGTTACTGTTTACTGGAAACGAGGCATTCCATCTCAGTCCTCAGGGCTGGCAATGAATCTGCATTTTGATTCTTAATTGAAGATAAATGTAGATGTCTATGGGCCACAGCATCCACTTAACATCAGGTGGAATGTGTGCTCGTTTGTCACCCTTATTCTAAAAAAAAAAGTATTACTACGAGCTTAGGGTTCGTGACAGTAAAAACTGCCGATTGAATTACCAAAATTGACACTTTAATTACTGAACACCAATTAAAACTTAAAACACACTAATAATTACTTAACTTAACATTTTAGTACTTTAGTTCTATAGTTCACGTAGTACTTTAGTTCACTTTATTTTGATCCGTAGTCTTCAGTTGTATCGACAATTTATTACTGCCCCGGTCGCGGTCCATAACGCCTTTATATAGGCCTTTTTCTACTGAAACACATCTAGAATGTTCGAGTAGAATGTCAAAAGTTTTAGCAAGGGATTTTCTGGAAAGCTTAGTTCTGCTACTCGATACTAGATGGCGCTAGTGAATCTTTCTTGAAAGATCTTGACGCTTCTATTTCTGCTACCCGATACTAGATGGCGCTACCCAATACTAGTCAAACGCTAACCATTTCTACACAGTCGGTTATGCAGATGATCTGACAATACTGGTCTCTAGTAAGACAGCAAGCATTGTGTGCGACCTGACCCAAGCGGCTCCGTATTGTGGAGAGATGGTGCAGGGAATATGACCTAACCGTTAATCCAAATTAAACGGTTATAGTAATGTTCACACAAAAACGAATGCTGAATAACTATCATCTTCCAAGTCTTTTCAGCACAAAACTCCAACTTTCTTCCGAGGTAAAATACCTAGGTCTTACCTTGGACAGTAAACTTAACTGGAACAAACACATAGAAAAGAAAATCAGCAAAGCTAGTTTAACTTTCTGGCAATGCAGAAACATGATTGGCAAATGATGGGGTTTAACGCCAAAAATTATACTGTAGCTGTACAAAACTGTAATTCGGCCCATGATCACATACGGCTCTCTGATATGGTGGACCAAAACCAATGAAGCCACCACTATACCAAAGCTTCAGCATTACCAGAGAATAGCTTGTATGGCTGACACGGGCTGCATAAGGACTACACCAACAGCAGCTTTGGAGGCTATGCTGGAGCTAGCACTGCTTCATCTACATATACAACAAGAAGCAACTTTAGCTGCCATTAGACTCAAGACCCTAAATCTTTTAAGTAAGAGTAGAGTCCCCCATACAGATATAATCGATAGAATTTACTCAAAAATTCCTATCTTACAAGCCAAGTATGATAGGATCCCAAAACAATTTGTATTCGATAAGAAGTACAGGATACAATTGAAGGAAACTGACCATCTGGAAGGATTGGGTCCAAGAGAGCTCAAAGTTTTCACGGATGGCTCTAAGACAAATGAAGGTGTGGGGTCTGGGGTTTTTTTTGAAGACCTTAATATCCACATAGCACACCGCTGGGTACCCACAACACAGTCTTCCAGGCTGAATGCATGGGTATATCATCCAAGCGGCCATAGCAATAGATGCTAGGAAGGTGAAAGACTTCTCCATCAGAATACTGACCGACAGTATGGCGGTACTACAAGCTCTGAGTTGCAATGTGACGAACTCGGGACTGATATACGAGTGCCATCAACGATTGAATGAGGTATGTAAGCACAACAATGTGACTCTGCAATGGATCAAGGGACACAGTGGATCTAGAGGCAACGATGCGGCAGATGAACTGGCCAGAAGGGGACCTAGCAACTATAGGGCCGGAACCAATAATAACAATCCACTTTGGCTACGTTCGTTCACTGGTACATAGATACTTCAATAATTTACACGCTCAGCTTTGGAAAAATTTTGTAGACTGTAGACAAGCTAGGGAGGCCCTACCTGAAATAAACAGTCGTCTAACCAAGGTTCTAATGAGACTGAACAAGCCACAGATCAGGATAGTAACAAGTGCTATCACAGGATGTGGCTCTTTTAACAAACATTTGTTCACCATAGGTGTTACTGACAGCCCCCTGCGCAGGGCATGCATGGGATGGAAGAAACGGCGGCTCACGTGTTGCTGACATGTCCAGAAGTCGCTTCATACAGGGCTAAACATCTCGGCACGCCGGGATCGCTCCCCGAAGTTGCTTGCAACATCAAGGGACTGCTGAGCTTCTTCGGGGAGATATCATGGCTCGAATAAGCATATTATTCCTGCCCACACGCAAAATACGCGCTTAGACTTGGAGTTGCGGAAAACAGCCCGTCGTAAACTAAACTAAACTAACCACTAGATGGCGCTGGTGCCATATATCAGGCATCAAATATGGCGCGCAACAGTGTGTATACATATTAGCTGGTAAAACCTGATTATAGTACCAGGTATTTCATGTTTCTAACGAGGTGTCCTAGGGTAGGGTACACGTCAGGGATACTGTCTATTGAATCTTCTTAGATTTTCTCTTAGTTGCCACTTAGGAAATCAACACATTGTTCAGAGGGTGGTGAATTCTGTTATGCCGGCTTCATATGGTAGATAACCCTCATGTAATATTTAAAAAAGGTTTATGAAAAGAAATTTAAAGGTTTAAAATTAAGATTTTGTTCTGTCTGTACAACACCTCAAACATCCAAGTTTAGTCTTGCACTTTGGTCTTGGTCTTGCATTCTCGGTCTTAATTTCGGTCTTAGTCATGGTCTTGTTAGTGTATCTATGATCTTGAGCTTGCAAAATAGCAAGACCAAGACCGATTTTGCTCGTCACTAGTTTCCTGCCTAATCTAATAAAAAGAGAGCTTTTGAATTGGCGCAGTGTATGTCTATATAACACATACGTTTTTTGTAAATATATGTTTTAGTTATGTTTGTTTTTTTCAGTTTTAAATAGGAGGTTAAATAGGAGGTCACCGTGTGTAGTCGTAATATCATTGAGAAAAATATACAAAAAATCACGATTGAAGAAAAAGCACTTATAAATTATTCTCACCCTTACGATGAGCATTGTGCAGAAAATCTTAATACTGAGAAATAAGTATATTATATAATAATATTGCAAAATAGGTCATAATTATCAGGATTGAAAAAAAAAAAAACTCCCGAGTGTGTCGTAAGAACCAAATTTGGACAATCTACGTCTATATGTCCTTTTTTTCGTTAAATTTTTTATGAGAGAGTTAATTCGTCAAATACAATTAATGAGAGAGTTAACTACTGTGTATTTTGTACCTGGTGGGTAATGGTTAGTGTACCTGACTTCCTCAGTAGTGGGTTAAGAATACATAGTTCGAATTTCGGACATTCAAAAAAATTTGTATTAAACAACAATTAATATCAAGTTTCGATACATTATTTATAAAGTATTTATAATATTAACGTTTACGTGGAAGAGCCATGCTGCAGTTATATTGTATAGTTGTAGCACGAATGGGTCGATTCATCCGGGGAAGGACCACGCTCTCACAGAATACCAGCGTCAAATAGCAGCTTAATGCTGCTATGTTTCGTATGGTGAGTGTAGAGAACCGGAGACTCAGTATACTGGAAAAGAGGTATTCCATCTTAGTTCTTAAGACTGACAACGCATCTTCATTTTGATTCGCAAAAGAGGATAGATGCAGATGTCTATGGGCCACAGCAACCACTTACCATCAGGTGGACTGTGTGCTCGTATGTCACCCTTTTCAAAAAAAAAAAAACGTTACCACGGATTTAGGAAAGTGAGAACTGATTCATCAGCATCATGTAATGATCTCCACAATTCCATTGCTAAACATAGGCCTCCTCCCAAGTAATGACATAAAGCACGGTCCTGATCCGTCGATTTTCGTGCTTATTTTACCAGATCGTCACTCCGAACTAGTGTTGCCAGGTCTAGCAAGTAAAATTTCGGGACGAAAGGTAAAAATAATGGAATGGTTCATCGAAAAAAACTTTTCATCCAAACATCGTCGTAGAAACCGCATTT